CTGGGGCTTCGCCTGACATACTTTGGACATGTTGTAAGGAGAGACAGGTCTTTAGAGAGGGACATCATGCTGGGCAGAGTGGAGGGACAGCACAGGAGGGGAAGATCCTCTATGAGGTGGATTGACTGGGTAATTGGGATGCGTGTGTCAGAGGCAATGAGATTGGCACAGGATAGAGCAGGGTTTAGGGCTGTTGTACATAGGGTCGCTATGTGTCGCAAACGACTTGACGGCACATAACAACAACAATAAACTGAAGTTGATATTCTGGTAAACAAGCCTATTAAATGGCAGTTTTCCAAATTAAGTTATACTCCCAATAAGGACATCTTGTTCAGTCAATCTGAATATTTAATTTATTATAAGAACAGTTCCATGACTAATCCCTAACAGTGTGATTAAAATCTACCATTGGGTGACAAATAATTATGCAAGCTCAAAACACATGCATACCTCCACCATTCTCTTGAGGCCAGATTGATTTTTGAATACTGCAAGTTCAGTAAGACAATTAACAACAAACGCTGGTAAGGGTATAGAGATTAGAACTCTTCATACACTGCTGGTTAAGAGTGTAAAATGGTGCAATCACTATTAAAAGTTTGACACTTCCTTAAAAAGTTGAAAATGGAAATATAATTTCACCCAGCAACCCAACTACTAGGTATATATGTCTTAAAGAAACAAGAGCTATGCACATATATGTTTACTGCCCCATTATTTATAAACAGCAAAGAGATGGAAAGAACCCAAGTGTCCACCAATGGATGAATGAATGGTACAGTCACCTAATAGAGTACCATATAACACAAAAGAACTGGAACGAATTCAAGACACAATGAATAAATAACATGTATAAATCTAGAGAACATTGTCGTCGTTGTTTGGTGCCTTCAAGTGTAACTCATAGAAATCATATGAGCAACCAGATCTGAACCCTATCCTATCCTATCCTGTGTCATCCTCATCATTTTTGACACTCTTGAGTCCACTGCTTTAGTCACTGTGTCAATCCATCTCATTGGGTAATCTTCCTTTCTTTTATGGACACTTCATCTTTCCAAGCTTAATATCCTATTCTAAGGAATAATTTCTCCTCGCAACATTGTTCAAAGATGGAGTTTTAGGCAGTGCTCAGTGGATATAATGCTGAGTAAAAATAAGTTAGTTACAAAAAGGACAAATGTGTAAGACTGTTATGAAAAGTTAGGGTTTACACATACATAAAGTCATTCTTGGATGGTAATAAGGATACCATAGGGTGGAGAAGGTAGTAAAAACTAAGTAGGTTGCAGAGCCTTATAGGTAAAGAGAAAGATAACATATAATATGGGGACGATCAGACATTGGTATTTTAATTAATGTTATAATCTAAGATATGTATGAATGATTGAATGGAAAAATCAATATGCTTTGTAAACTTTCACTCAAATCACAATTTAAAACATTTCAAAAAATTAAGAGCAACTAGAAGTATCTGAAGGAACCCTGGTGGGATAGTGTGTAACATATCAGACTCCTAAATAGAGGGTCAGAGGTTTGAACCCACCAACTATGCCACAGGATTGGAAAACCAATGAGGCATCATGATGAGTCAGATTTGACTCAATGGCAGTGAGTTTAATGTTTTTAAAAGTATGTGAGAGCCAAGGAGATAGAACGGCATGCCAAGCACATGGCCCTACGTGACCTGGAAAAAGAATATGGTGAACTGAGAATACAGCCTCCAGGCATTTTTTTATGCAATTCTGTACTATGGTTCCTCCCTACAAAGAAAAGTATACAGGTGGTTTTTGAAATAGCATCTGCAGTAATAACAGTAATTACTGCCACAATAAAAGAGTTAAATACATTTAAACTAGACAGTCTTTGTACCTACCTGCATTACCTTCTGTTGAATCTCTTCTAACTGTGTGCGTTTGCTACGCTGCCGACAAACTTCCTGGTAGCGGGTATACTGCTCTCGGAGTGAATCTAACAACTTCATAACCTGTGGCTGTGCAAGCAGCTCATCATCCATAGGTGACCAGGAGACCCCTCCATCTGAGCCATTAAACCGACGCTGCTGTAACTCAGACAATAATTCATGCCCTGTACAAATAAAGGATTAAAGTCACTATCTACAAAGAACTGTAATTCTTACTTTGCAATTTCTCAATGGTATTCCATTTTCTTATTTACTTACTTTTCTACTTACAGGTAGAGAGATCAGGTAAAGAATCAAGCATATATATGAGTGTATTTATACATTTATTTATGTTGGAAGTTCCCATGGCCAAGTAGGCGAGGAGCTGGGCAGTCAACCCTGCGTGTATGCACGGCACACACGGATGTATGTATTTATAAATACACACACACACACACATATAAAATCTGTATATATATTTATATACACATATACTCATGTGTGATATATACACATGTACACACACAAATATCTAGTAAATTCATTTTATATCAGTAGATTCATTGCTTAGAATATTGAGCCAACTAGAGCTCTTGCCCCACAGAGCACAATTACTCATATTCAGAGATTTCTATCTAATGACAAGCACTATTGTTGCAGTTTTTAGTATTTTATTAAGCCACACTCTTAATTTTATTGTTTAAAAGAAAAATTTACATTGTAAAAAATATATAATGGTATCTTATTTCTAGGACAAAATATTTATGTTTAAAAAATTTCTATCTATAGGAATTTCCAGAATATATTAATCGATCCATGAAGGCACACAACAGCATAAGAATGTATTCAATGTGATTCACTTACAGAAAGTCATGCATAAAAATATAATTACTCACACGTGAGAAACTGAATTCATAGAATATCCAACATCTAAAGCTATAGAAACTTTAAAATTATATGTATATGGTATTGTTAACTCAAGAATTTTTATTGACAGTTCTTCTAGAGTTCCTTTAAGGGAATGAAAACTTAGGACAAGTGATCAAATACAAGGTCTGCAGAATCTTTTGTTCTATTTTATAACAGAACATCTGATATAAGATTTACGAGTCATATATTCACTAAATCCACTGATGTAAAAGTACACGTTCCCCTACTCTGACACCAGTTATCCTTAGCATATGTTCTACTTCCACTAGAAAAGAGGCACAAGATAGCGATTTCAACAACTACCTTGAAATCAAACTGCCTGGCTTCAAGTCCTTATGCTAGCTATGTAACCTTTTAAGTTAGGCTTGCTTTTTACCTCTCAAAAGTCTTCCCATCTTAAAGTTAAGATAATAATTAGCACCTAATTCATGGGCTTATGGTAAATGATAAATTAATAGCCTTAGGGTAAATAAAAATGATAAATAGAACTATTTTTACCTTACACTAGTTCCATAAACTGAAACAGGAGCATAGCAATAGACGAATGGAAATTTCTTTTTTTTTTTTTTTTTACAAATGGAAATGTCTATCTCCCATTCAAAGATACAGAAATAAATTAAAATATTTCAAGTGAAATATAATTCAACTTAATAACATCTTAATTATTATATTTATATTAATTAATTATTATTTTAATGTCTACTAATATAGTTAGGTTAACCCAAAGGCATCTTTAAATTTTTTTCTGTCCAATTCCAAGTATATAATATATGCTCAATTAATGTTTATTTAATGAACCAATCACTCCATGATTGCTTACTTGTGTTATTATTATCACGAATAATTGTGGTTTTCCTTAACTTAGCATAAATTGTTGTTGTTATTGTTATGTGCCGTCAAGTCGCCTGCAAATAACAGCGACCCTATGTACAACAGCAATGAGCTCTATCCTAAGCCAGTCTTACTATCTCTGACACATCTACACCCATTAACCCGGGCACTGTATCAATCCATCAATTGAGGGTCTTCCTCTTTTGTGCTTCCCTTCCCTTCCCAAGTGTGATGTCCCTCTCCAAGGACTGCTGATTCCTTGCAACATGTCCAAAGTACATCAGATGGAGCTTCCGAACCCTTGCCTCCATGGAGCAACTTGGTTTCACCCTCTCCAAGACGACTCTATCTGTTCTCCTAGCAATCCATGATATGTTCAATACTCTTCTCCAGTACCACAGTTCAAAGGCATCAATTCTCCTTCTATCATCCTTAGTCACTTTCCAGCTTTCTGATGCATAGCACTTAATTGTAAAGACCATTGTGAAGATCAGGTGCACCTTAGTCTCCAGACTGACACTGTTGCTCTTCAGTACTCTGGAGATATCCCTGAAAGCAGACATTCCCAATGCAATTCATCTTTTGATATCCTGGCTGCTTGTACCAAGAGTACTGACTGTGGAGCCAAGCAAACTGAAGCTTGTAGCAATCTTAAACTCCTCTCTATCTATCATGGTGCTGCCAATTAACGCAGTGGTAAGAATCTTTGTTTGCTTGATGTTGAGCTTCAATCCATATTGAAGGCTGCAGTCCTTGACATTTGCAACAAGTGTTTCAGGTCCTTGTCAGTTTCAGTAGGCAAAGTTGTGTCATCTGCATACCACAGATTATTGATGAGTGTTCCTTCAATTCCAATGCCACATTCCTTTTTATGGAGCCCAGCTTCTTAGATGATCTGCTGTGGATATAGATTGAAAAGGTATGGAGATGGGACACATCCCTGGCGTACGTTCTTGCTTATTTTAAACTATGTTGTGACAACTGTTCTGACAACTGCCTCCTGGTCCTAGTACAGGTGTTGGATAAACATAATCAAGTGTTCTGGGATTCCCATTTTTCTCAGAGTTAACCACAGTTTGTTGTGATCCAAACAGTCAAAAGCCTTTGCAGTCATTTAAACACAGATAGACATTCCGCATTCTCCACTTTCAGGGAAGATTCATCTAACATTAGCTATAATATCCCTATTATCACAGCCTCTTACAAACCCAGCCTGTGCATCTGGCAGTTCTGTTGATGTTCGTCCCAGTTGTTTTTGGGTAATTTTAAGCAGAATCTTGCTTGCATGTGATATTAATGATATTGTCTGATAATTTCTGCACTCTGTTGGGTCATCTTTCTTTGGAATGAGAACAAAAATTAATCTCTTCCAGTCAGTTGGCCAGGTGGTTTTCCTCCAGATTTCTTGGCTCAACTTGGAGAGCACATGCAGGGCCGCATCTGTTTGTTATGACAGTAGGTATGCCATTAGTTCCTTGGGCCTTGTTTTTTGCAAATTGTTTGAGAGAAGCTTGAACTTCATCATTCATTAACACAGGCTCTTGCTCATACGTTGTTTCATGAAATTATTCTGTCAGTCAATTCTTTTTGGTACAGTGCCTTTTTTTTGTATACTCCTTCCATCATCTTTTAATGCTCCCTGGATCATTTAATATTCTACTCAAAGCATCCTTAAATATTGCAACTTGAGGCTTGAGTTTTTTTCTTTGGTTCCTTCAGCTAAAGAAATGCCAGGCAAGTTTAGACCTTTAGATTTTCTGACTTCAGCTCTTTGCACATTTAATTATAATACTTTGCTCTTTCTCCATTGCCCTTTGAAATCTTCTGTTTACCTCCTTAATTTCTTCCCTTTGCTTCGGCTTCTCAGTGCTCTAGTGCAATATTCAGAGTCTCATCTGACATCTATCTTTGTCTTTTCTTCCTCTTCTGTCTTTGTAACAACTTTATTGATGCTTCATGACAATATTCTTGATATACTGCCACAGCTCATCTGATTTTCACTCACTCGTGTTCAAGGTCTCAAATCTGTTTCAGAGATGGTTTTGAAATTCCAGTGGGACAGAATCAAGGTCAGATGCTCAATAAATGTTTATATAATGAACCAATCAATCTATGATTGCTTAACTGTACTATCATTATCAGTTATAAGTGTGGTTTTTCTTCTTACCTGTCTGAAGAACTGTTTCAGGATCAACTGAGGGAAGAAAGTTTAAATCCACAGACCTAGTGAACATCAAAAGAATAATTTTGAAAAGCTATTATTTCTATCCATATAACTTAAGTCTTTTATATCTTTCCAATTAAAAAACTAAATCAAACCCATTGCTATCAAGTAGATACTGACTCAGTGAGCCTACAAGACAGCAGGGAACCACCGACAAGTTTTCCAAGGCTGTAATCTTTATGGAAGCAGACTGCCACAGCTTTCTGCTGCAGAACAGGGGATGAATTAGAAGCACTAACCTTTTAGTGTCAATTTCAAGATCAGAAAGAGCTCATTATAAACAAGGAAAAAAAAATAAAGAAAAAAGCCAAAATAAAAGAAAGGAACTTTACCCATCAATAGAAAAATGAAAACTGACAAATACATTCAATTTCTCTAAGGAGAATTCACTAATATATTTTACGTACTGACAGAAAAATGCTTATGTCTTTAAATAAAGCTATAATCATATTATTTACTAAGAAACAGAACTAAAAAGGATGAAAATTGTTTTAATGTGAAGATGTCATATTGAAAATTATAATTCTATTAAACATGTCCAGCAAGGGCTAGAAAAAGGAATCAAATTATTGTTTCCTTTAAAAAAATATGTTTTACCAATGAAGGAATTTTTCTTTTACTTTTCAAAGCCATGAGTGAACTGGGGGGGGGAGGGGTGGGCAGGAAGAAAAGTGCAACAATGAATTAATGGAAATCCAAAAATCTCTGTAAACGTTCATTAAACTTAATAATAAAAAAATAAAACCCAAGTAAAATAATGAATAAAAACCCAATAGAGAGTTACCAGGAGTTGGAAAAAAAATATATTTTAAAAAGAAAGACTGATCAAATCAATGAATAAGTTCAACATGTAAAGCAAATTCTTATAAATTAAAAAGTTATTTTAGTTAAAACTTGCATTTGACAATTTTAACTGAATGAAGATTTGTGTCCCCTACTTCTTTTCAGCATGCATTAATGATACTTTCTGTAATACTGATAGTACCTTCTCTCAAATGAATCACAGTTTATAAGGGGCATGACACTGGCCACCTACCTTTCTTTCTCTTGTTGATTTCCTTTATCACTTCCATTGTTAATCAAGGCAAGTTCATCTAATAAAGATGTTGATTCTTTTGTAAATTTCTCAAAAACCTAAAACATGAGATTTTATTAATTAACTAATGATAATCTGAAATGTTCCTGTGTTAAGAGCAATAGAGTTAGCTAGCCAGGATTCTCTTTCCCTCCCTGGAAGTTCCTTATGCCACACTACTATCAGAGCACTAGTGTGCACAGAGAAGACAAAGCAGTAATCAATAGCTCCAATGGATAAAGAGTTTTTTAAAATTTAAGTATATTAAGACATTTTAGTTCTCAATAAAATCCGGTTTTTTTACAATATTCTGTGTATATTTGAGTAACATTTCCACCAATGACAGTTCTTAACTACACAAACATTATTTGAACCAGTTCTAGTCATCTAACTTTAGTTATACTAGAAGAACTTTAAATGTTATTCTGAATGTATGTAACAATTAAAAGATGTTTAAATAAGGTGTGAACATGTCAATTCTGATTTATAGAGACCCGTTAAGACAGTGGCACTGCCACAGTGTTTTCCAGGAGGTAGTCGGCCACACCTTGCTCCTGTAGGTTTAGACCTACACCTTGCTGGTGTAGGTTTAGACCACTGACATTTTGTTAGTAGGAGAGAATTTTAACCATTAACCCACCAGGATTGCTATGTACAAGCTTCTAGCAAGAAAATAAATATTTTAATTGATTTCTTAAATATTTCTTAAAAGTGATTTAAGTGTCTGTTTAAATATAAGTATTAAAATGAACATTTGTTCAAACACTGTGGCCATAAAAACCACTCTTCATTCTGACATAACTAAAAGGTCATTATTTCTTAATAAAATTAATAAATAAGCTGAAGTGAGTTAATCTGAAGATTTTCTTTCATTTCAGTCTCTTGCAGTTCCTTTAAAAAATGTGTTAGTATATGGAGTAGCAGATTTTCGCAAGTCTGATCTAATAAAGATACATTTTCAGAAATGTAAGTTTAATCTATAAAACTGCTCTTCAAACTGGTAATTCAAGATGATCCTCAAATATCCCCTCTGCAAATAGTAGAATATATTATTTCTCAAAATTATGCTATTCTAATAGTCCTTAAAGACTTAAATATTTTATTAGTAAAACCAGAGTCACTAATAAGAACAATATCAATCAACACATAACGTTAGAATGTTACCATATGTAGGCACTACTCTAGGAACTTTATGTATATATTTATTCCATCTTACCCCTACTCCCATCTGGCAAGTACTACCCTAAATATGAAGTGTGATCCACCAGCTGCCCAAGGAAGAAAGACGAGCAGTCTCTTCTCATTAAGATTTACAGCATCAGAAACCCAACGGAGTGTTGCTGTGACAACAACTCAATGACAGTAAGCTTTAGAGAAATGAGATGACATAAATGGTTTGTGTTCAACAGTAACAATTTTGTTCTGTAATGCACCGGTGACAATTCTGTTCTGTAATGCCATCAGTGGGAATAAACCTGCAACGAACAACATTATAAACAAAAAACCATTGCTATCAAGTCGAATTCCAACTGATGGTTATCCTAACAGAATAGTGTACAACTATTCACAGGGGTCCAAGGCTGTAAATATTTTTTTTTTACCTCTTTTAAGTTTACTTGTAGAGAACTCCTACAGGAACTTTCTATACAGCTCTAAATCATAAAACTTGAAAAAAAGTGAAGAGGATAATAGCTGGTTTTGCTCATCCCTGGGAATGACTGCGGCTTGACTAGCAACTTGGATGCAGAGTACGGTTCAACGGATAGGATTAGCACAGCGAGTGATCCAAGGCGGCCTTCAGGTTCACAGCATGCAGAAAGGGTGCAGAAAGAGTCAAGCTCCCGCGAGTTCTAGGTGTGGCGGCAATGCGGTGCCTTAGCAAAGCCAGTTTCGGGAAGTTAGAGCCCAGCGGGAGACATGACGCTCAGGAAACCATGGTAATCCTGCTCAGTACGAGAGGAACCGCAGGTTCAGACATTTGGTGTATGTGCTTGGCTGAGGAAACCGCTTTGATCCGCGCCAAGCGCAGGCGCAGGCGGCAGCCCAGGGGGCATCACGTGCTCAAATCTCCCTAAACTCCAAGGCTGTAAATATTTACAAAACAGAATGCTATGTCTTTCTTCCATAGAGCTAGAAGTGGCTTTAAACTTCTGAACTCTGGGCAGGACGTTATTCACTGTGCCATGAGGGTTTCTCAAACAACATTACAGAGATGTGGCTACAGAGGCACAGGGAAGTTAGACTGCTGGTGGTGAGTGCTATGGAATGAACTATATCCCTTCAAAAGACATGTTGCAGTTATAATAACTCCCGAATCTATGGATTTGATTTTATTTGGGTAAATAAGGTTTTTCTTTGGGAAATTTAAATTAAGGATGTCATCCCTGAGAAAGGCAGGTGTTACAGATGTGGGAGGGGGAGGGAGGAAAATGTGCAATAATCAATGAAAGAAAACCCAACCTTTCTGTAAACATTCATTAACATCACAATTTAAAAAACCACAATTAAATCTTCCGAGTAATGTTTTATAAAAAAGAGCAGAGAAACTGTCACAAACATAGGGAGGACATCACATGAACTGAAACAGCAAAGGAATTCAAGGACACGGCAGCTACCAGAAGCTAGGAGAAAGGTTCTTCTCTCAGAACCAACCACCATAGCCTATATCCCAATGTGGACTTCCAACATACATAACTGTGAGAAAATGCATTTATGTCTCTAAAGGTACCTTCTGTGTGGTAGTTAGTTACAGAAACCCTAAGAAAATAAGACTCTTACATACTCAGTAAAGCAAAGAATAGATTCTAATAAAATCTGTCAGACTCCATGGGATTTGCCCTCCAATGTTATTTTGTCCTCTAAAGGCTATGATGTAGAATGTGCTAAATGTTAATACTTTGTAGAAAGAAAAACAAACTGTAACTTTTCAGTTACTTAAAATGGTAGCATAATCAGAACAGGCCTTATTTATAAATAACAACATAATATCTCATTGTTAATATACCAACCAGCCTCTTATTTAACCAGTCCATGTGATCATAAGTAAGACTCCCACCAAAATCTTCTGTTAATTGGCATGGTTCAATATAACGAGTCAACTTATTGGCGGACACTAAGATAACCTAGAAAAATTTGAAATATATATATATTTAGTATATCACTATGAAAACAGTAAAAGGTTAAATTAGGCTAAAAATGATGGTATTGTTTCCAACATGACAGCTTATTAACATTTATTTAATTTGACACTTGAAATCAACTCAATCAATTCTGGATATCTGTTTAAAAATAATAATAATACATTTGAAAAACAGACACAGCAGCCAAAGCATTTTTTACCAACAATTCAATTTCTTTAATACAATAGTAAAAGTCAACTTCTGTACTACAATGTCCTATTCAGAAAACATTTTGCATGGCCCCCAAATGACAACTGGCCCTCCAGTGAGCTCCCAAGGCTGTCACTCACAGGAGAGGGGACAGCCTGGGCTTCTCCATGGAGGGCCTGGTGGATTTGAACTGCCAGAGAGGGGCAGCCTTAGGTTAGCAGCAAAACTCTCTATAGACTAAGCCACCAAAGTGCTCTTCAAAATTAACTAGGTATGCTAAAGAGATAATTGCAAGTAAAAAAATGGCATCAAGATTTGAATTTAGGACACTTAACAGTAGAGATTCACCCAGAGAGGAAACTTAAAATAGACTCCTACCCATTTCCTCCACAGGAACAAATTAGAAAGAGGGATAAAGGAAACGATAAATAATGGGAGGTGGCAGGACGAGTATTGTTACACTGCTGAGATTACAATCAACGTCTGGAATCAAAATGTGTATCAAGTAGTGAATAGGAAAACGTAATTCAAATCACGATAATAAGTTAAAAAAGGAAATTAAGAAAGAGAGAGAGAAAAAAAAGGCTTAGTGGCAAGAAACTGCACTGCCACTGCAAGTGTATGTGGTTTGAAACCACTAGCTAATCCATGAAAGAAAGATGGGTCATTTCCTCCTATGCAATTTACTGCCTGTGAAAACCCACTGGAGGGTCAGTTATGGGTCAGTTCCAACTCCATGGTACACAACGACGACAACAGTGGGCAAAAGGTTAGGATAACATTCAGTATTTAATTTGAAAATTTTAAGCTTATAACAGGAATAAGTTTAAAAAATTCATCTTAATTCTAAACTTTAAAAGATTTCAAATGTCATTTATACAAGTACCCAGGACACTAATAATAAAATTCAATGAAGATACATGTGAATATGAAAGAAAATACATCTGTGGGAGAAAAATGTTCTAATGGAAATAGTAATAAAAAAACTGATAGAAATGTAAACATATGAAAAGTAACTGTCAGAAAAGTAGTGTAAGTGTATATTTATCTTAAATATATAGCTGAACATTCCCATCTAAAGAATAACAATCTAATAATCTAGAAAACTGGAAATTTTTGGGACCCAGAAGAGACCTGCAGTCACAGGGAAACCAACTGAAAAGGCAAGCAGGCACAAGGGCTGGGAAAGGGGCTAGGAACAACAGAAGGCAGGAAAAGTTTTGGGACTGTGAGGGTGTCCTGATCTTGGCTGTGTTGAAGGTTACATGCCTGTATCCTTCCTTCAATTCTCATAAAATTGTACAATAAAAGAGGTAGATTAATTATATGTAATTTACATCTCAATAAACCTGTCTTTGGGGGGAAACCCTGAAAACTGGTACAAAACTAGATACAAGCATTCATCATGTAAAACTATAGACCAGGAAAAGTGTTAAGTCTGCAAACTACTCAGCTAACAGAATAAAGATATCGCCAAAACTCAGTCCCACAAGGATAAATATTATATAAAACCATTATTGTACAATAAGGATCCAAGAAGGGTGGGAGAGGTTGGAAGCAGAAAGATGAGGATGTGCAGGGGTGGGGAGTATTAATCATGGGACTGTACAATTTAATGGGGGGGGGCGTGAGGGAAATTGAAACAATCTGTTCTTAGAAACAATGTATTCAAATTTTGTAAATAAACTAGTAGAAAATGGAAAAAAAATCACATATCATAAAGTCACAGAACTAACAGAGAAAACACATTTTAGAGTTGGAGAGTATAACAAATTGTTAATGAAAGGAATAGATGACATAAAAATAAAGAGACTTGAACATTTACTGTCAGAGACCTCTCCAAAGTACTGAAGAGCAACCATTTCAGTCTGGAGACTAAGGTGCGCCTGATACAGGCCATGGTCTTTGCAATTACTTTCTATGCATCAGAGAGCTGGACAATGACTAGAGAAGATAGGAAAGTTGATTCCTTAGAGCTGTGGTGCTGGAGAAGAGTATTGAATATACCATGGACTGCAAGGAGAACAAACAAGCTTGTCCTGGAGAGGATGAAGCCAGGCTGCTCCTTGGAGGCAAGGATTCTGAAGCTTCGTCTGACATTCTCTGGACATGTAGCAAGGCAGGATCAGTCCTTGGAGAGGGACGTCATGCTTAGGGGGGTGGAGGGACAGACAGCGCAAAAGAGGACAACCCTCGTTGAGATGGATTGATCAGTCACGGGGTAGTGGGGGTAGGCATATCGGAGACAATAATACTGGCAAGAGATAGAACAGGGTTTAGGGCTGTTGTACACAGGGTCACTATTAGTCGCAAGTGACTTGACAGCATATAACAACAATCAAAACTGAAAAATAATGAGCAGTGTCCCATCAAAGAATCTGGGGAGAGTGGTGAAAGAGACAAACAAATACAAAGAAAATATTCAAAAACCTCACACTCATTACCGATGAGCTGATTCTGATTCATAGCAACCCTGCTGGATGGAGAACTACATGAGAGGGTTCCCAAGGCTGTAAAGCTTTACAAGAAGCAGGTTTCTATGGCTTCTTCCTGAGGGGCAGCTGATGGGTTTGAACTATGGGCCTTCCAATTAGTGGCTGAATGCACTAATATCTAGATTATCAGGGTTTTTCTAAAAAAAAAAATCATGAATTAAAAAAGGCAGTTATTATTAAGACTTAATAAAGTAAACAGTGATTCCTGGAAAAGACTAAATGAACAAAACAAAAACCTAAGAGGCACATATAAATAATAAACCCAATGTCACCAGGTCAGTTCCTACTCATAGTGACACCACAGGAAAGAGGAGAATTGTCCCATAGGTCTCCATAGCCATAATTTTTTTACAGAAGTAAACTGCCTCCTCTTCTTCCCCTGGAACCCCTGAAGGACCTGAGTCACTTTTGGTTAGTAGCTGAACGTTTTAATGGAAACTTTTAGACTTTGTTATCAGGTGACATATGTAAGGTCTATTGTAGCATGACCAATCAGTTGACAACATGAAATCTCTACTGTACCCTCCTTCAAAATGGTCAAAGAATAGATATGATCCAAATTTCCCTCAACAGAAGAGAACTAAACTATTATTTTCACACAATGTTCACAGACTGACTGAGCTGAAGCTGACTGGATAGTGCCTAACAAAAACAACATATGATGATTTTGTTGTTAGGAGATTTCATGAAGTTGATCCTGGTTCACAGTGACTACATGTGACAAACATGGGGTTTTGTAAAGTGTACTCTTTATGGGAGTGTATCAATGGGTCTTTCCACCCACACAGGCACTTCTGAACCACTAACCTTTAAGTTAAGAGAGCATGTTAACTCAATTACCTATTTTGGTTTGACTGCTGTTCATTCATTCATTCATTCACTGCCATTGAGCTGACACTGACTTCTAGTTAACCTTTAAGCAGATTTTGGGGGGCTGTGCAAAGGTAACTGTTCATTTTTCTCCCACCGAAGTGGATTCAAACCCCCCAGAGCGGGTTAAGCACACAACTCTCTGAGGATGATGGCACCAGAGCTCCCTCTAGTGGTGTTAGTACTGCGAATTGTTTCAGTTGCCCCACAGGGTTTACTAAGTTGCCATCCTCATGAAGCTTTCTTCTACGGAGCTTTCTGTTAGCAGCAGAATTGCAGCCCCACAGCTCCTATATTTTGGTACAACGCAAAGCCCAAACTGTTCCCGTCAAGTTGCTGGGGACTCACGGTAACCCTCCAGGACAAAGCAGAACTGCCCTTCAGGTCTCCCAAGGCTGAAATCTTTATGAATTCTGCAATCTTCAATAAGGATTGTATTTCAATGTCAAGAGATGAAAATTTCTTACTGGACCAACATCACTATTAGGGGACATTATGACAGATGGAGAAAAGACTGGAACTGTCAATGGCTTCATTTTACTTGGATCCACAATCAATCACAATCACAGCAGTAAGATCTGGAGATGAATTAATTACACTGGGAAAGTGTGCAGTCAGGGACCTGTCCAAATTACTCAGGAGCAAAGATGCTAGTGTGAGGACTAAAGTGCACCTGATTCAGACCATGGTCTTTTTATCACTTGCTGCTGAGAGCTGAACAATAACAAAGGATGGCAGAAGAAAAAATGATGCCTTTCAACTGTGGTATTGGAGAGGAGTACTGAATATCCCAGGGAATGCCAAAGAAGGTGCAGCCAGAGTGTCCTGGAGGCAAGAATGGTGAAGCTTCATCTCTCATACTGCAGGCATGTTGCTAGGAGAGGCTATTCCTTAGAGAAGAATACCATGCTTGGAAAAGTGGGAGGATGGCAAAACAAAGGAAGACCTTCAACCAGGTAGGTTAGTACACTGACTGCAGTAATGGCCTTAAGTGTGTCAGAGACTGTAAGTGGGCAGAGGACAAGGCAGGGTCAGACATGCTGTTCACAGGGTTGTTATCAGTTATACTCAACTCAATGGCACCTAACAGCAATAATAAAAACAAAAATTTTATGGATGCTGACTACCACATTTTCTTCCATGGAGCAGCTGGTGGGTTCAGACTTCAATTTTTAAGTTAACATCCAAGAGCTTTAAACACTGTGCTATGAGGGCTCCTTGCTTAGGTGTGATGGGAATAAAATGAAAATGAACATAATGGTGTGACAAAGAATGATCTTTCATCTATGAAAACAGCTCAAGCAATTAAGTTTCTTCTTCTCTGTTGTCTAAAACAGCCAGGCAAGTAAGGGCTACCTGGGCACCCCACTTGATGAACTAAGCCAGGAAGAATGGACAACATAATGCAGTCATGCACCACACAACTAT